CAACCTCTCCATGCTTTTCACTCCCTTCCTCACTGCAGGGATCTGTTATCCCAAATACCTGATGTTTTCTATCCCCAGTGTTAGCATTGAGAGCTTTAATTTGAGTGTTTACCCAGTTTTATCTAAGTATAATGTAAATGTTTGCGCTTCAGAAATGCTTTAACTGCAGCACAGATTGCTGTTGGAAATAGATTGTTTTGCCTTTTTAGGTTTGTTTTTCCTATAAAACTTTCCTCCCTCTAACTTGGCTGCTTGAGATATCCCTGAAAATTGCATTTTTTTGCCACTGCGTTGTTTGTTTTAATCCTTCCTGTTGAAAGACATTAATGAATCTCAGCACTAGTGAGGAGGAAGATTATGTATTTGATCTTTATGGCAATGTGTAGCACAGATCTTTATGGAACAAATCCTTCCCTGGGAGGTGCTGAGGCCCTGGCACAGGTTGCCCAGAGAAATTGTGGCTGCTCCATCCCTTGGAGTGTTCCAGGCCAGGTTGGATGGGGCTTGGAGCAACCTGGACTAGTGGAAAGTGTCCCTGCCCATGGCAGGGGGTGGGATGAGATGAGCTTTAAGGCCCTTCCAACCCAAACCACTCTGGGATCTCTCTATTTTTTTGTCTTCTGTTATTTGGACATTCTCAGCTGAGTTTGCTTAAGCAAAGCATCAGATTTACCTGGTTGTCCTGTGGGTTTATCCCTGTCATCCCCCAGGAGTTGAAGGAAGTGCCTTATGTGCACCATGAGGAAGGGGAATAAACAAGTAGTGCTGGAAATGCACTGAGCATTTTCCTCTAGGAATAGCTGATCATTAACTGAGGAACAGTTTGGGCTGTGGCTTCCCAACAGCCTCTGTGAAAGTCACTTACTAATTGAGGCCATGGGCAGTGCTCAGTGCAGTGACACTGCTGGTGGCAGCTGCTGTGGCTTTAGAAAAGTCAGTTCAAAGTGGAAAGCCAAATATTTGAAGTTTGGAGTGTTTTTTCCTTGTTGGGTTTGGTTTATTTCCTAGGGGAGCTTCTACATGCATTTGTGTTTTGTCACTCAGTGTTTTTTCTTTGTTGGGTTTTGGTTTGTTGGTGGGTTTGGTTTGGGTTTTTTTCTCCTGGGGAAGCTTCTACATGCACAGATAGATAAAGAAGAGTAAGTTAAACTGGATTTTGCCTAATCTTTTGTGTTTTGCCTCTTAGTTTCCATCAGTGCTGAACAGTCATGGCCCATTTACTCTGTCTGGACTGGATGGACCCTCTACCCCAGGCCCATTTTCCCCTGATCTCCAGAAGACATAGCACATGACCTCATGGAAAGGACATATTGGCAAGCAAGGGAAAGTTCTAGGACACTTCTATTTAAGCAAGTTTTTGTAAAATGAGCAATTTATAATTCCACAGAGATTCTCAACGATCATAGTTTTTGCCATTCCCAAATCGAATGCCTTTTTTTGCAAAATTCCCTGTTTTTTGAAGAACCCAGGTTGGGAATGTATATGCAAACGCCTTAATAGGAGCTGCAGCTCCAGTTTCTTTTCTTCCCTCCTTGGTTTGGAAGATTTCACCAATGGTCAAAGGGAGTTTGGGTTGGTGTTGCAGCAACTGAGTCTGCGCTGATTACAGTCAACAGCAGCAGAGAAGCTTTTTCTCTGGGACTCTTGGGAAAAAAACCCACAACCCTCTGTTCTTCTGCTTCCTGTGCTTGTCCAGAAGAAATCTAATCAGGATGGAAGCTGGCATTCCAGGAAATGCTTGGGAAAGGGGTGTGTGCACTCAGCTCTGCCTCGGGGCACCAGCACTTCTGCAGCCACAAAGCAGCCGATCACGTCTTTTCTGCTGTAAAAAAACATCTTGTCTTTTTGCAGGGAGAAATTTTCCAGGACTATTCAATGCTTGTGTTACTGAGACATGAACAATTTGGGAATGGAGCTGTGTACCAGCAGCCCAGCCCCCCTGGCTGGCTCCTGGATGCTTCCCTGCCCTCCCTTCGGTGAGGTCTGGAGAGGAGTGAATGGTGGGATGAGTTCCTTTCGATTCTCAGAGTTTGAATGCTGAAGTCCAAACATTTCTTGTGCCAGAGACCTGTTCCAGAGCCTGTGATCTCAGTGCTGGCTGAGCAGGATGGTGGATTTTCCATGCAGTTTTTTGGGGTGTGCCTGTGCCGAGGTTGCTGCCTGATGCCCAAGCAGTGGGTGAGAACACTAACAGCCCAGCATTAACCTTCCTGCTCCTTTCCCACAGCTTTGGAAGAGATTCCCACTTTCCCAGAAGTGGAGAAGCTCCTCTTGTACCAGCTCTTATCTCAAGTGTTGCTTCAGAGCTGAGAGGAAGCACTCAGACCCCAGATCAGGCTGTGTGTGTGCAGCTGGCTCAGAGGGGATCCAGAGTGTCAACCTCGGTGTAAACTTGCTCCTGCATTCCCTTTCCTGGTGGTGTGGATGGATTCATGCAAGATTAATTTCCAGAGCCATTTGAGATGAAATTTCTAGTTAGGTTTTTACACCTCAGGAGGCCTTTTAAGAGAAAACTGAGGAGTGAAAGGAGAGAGATTCCTCTCTCAGCCCCTCAGAGTCTGGATGTGTTGGTCTGTGGGTGCTGGGCCACGTGTCCTCCCACTTTGGGCATCTGATGTCAGGCAGCAACTTCTGTTTGCTACTGTGTGCATTGAGTTGGGGATGTAAAATAATCTTCTCCATGAAATACCCAGTAGAAAACAGATGGAGACATCTCTTCCCTTCAGCATCCTCACTGGCTGTCTTCAAGGTTTTGATGAGCAGAGGAAGATTTTTTGTACCTTTCCAGCAAGAGGAGCTGACAGTGTTTGCTGTACATATTGCACCTGTTTTATGGATAAGTGGTGAACTCAAGCTTTCCAGAGTTTTCCTTTTGCCACTTTTTGCAGGCTTGGAATTCACTTTAAAGCATATGACAATGACCCAAGACTTATTTTCCTGCAGTGATGTTACCTTTCTATATTCTACCAGTGAAATGTATAAACCACTTTGTGTGTTCCTGACACGACACCTGGGACAGGTGGGTGGAACAGAGTTGGTTTTTTGGGGCATTGTTCATCCAGAACACCTGCCCTGGGTGGTGGGGAAAGTAGGAGAAGAGAATATTCCTTCTTCATGTGGAAAAGCAGGGAGTGAGCTCCTGGAGTGACCTGTCTTCCTGTTGGGTTCTGTCAGAGGCATAAATGCTTCACCTGTAGACATCAGCACATGCAGGCTAAGGTTCCTGTGCCAGCAGCTCTTAAAATGTGCAATATTGACCTTTTTTTTTTTGTTTTTCCTTTATTTTTTTGTAATGCAGAAACAAAGCTGCAGCTGATAATTAAGAGCAGGCACCTGGAATGTTCTGGTTTGCATGATGACTTCTGAGTCTGCTCTAGAAAATATATATAGCTAGATATAAATAGCACTTTGAATGGTTTGTTTTAGGTTGGCCAATTTGATGCCCACCAAGGGTGTGGATTTGAGAGCAACATTTTGCAGGCTTAGGGTTAGAGTTTGGATTGAATTAATGGCACTAAAGACTTGCAATTTAATTGCTTCCCTTTCCTTGTCCCCCTAATGGAGAAAAGCCAAGTTTTATTTGTTTTAAAAAAAGTTGTGTATGTGCACGTGTGCACTTAGTTCTTGGTGAACTTCCTCACTTTGGGCAGAGGTATGCAAGAGAACCAAGTGCTAACCTAGCTGGTCAGTTGGGCTTGGCCTGCTTTCCTGCTCTTCTCCAAGAAGCTTCCTAGGGATTGCACTGCCAGAGCTGGGTGAGGTGCACATTTCCCTTGGGAATACCTTCTGCAGAGGAAGTTCATGTGGAGGTGATGGAGGAGCTGCCTGGATGTGATGGTTTCTGTCTCTGTCACACAGGCAGCACTGAGAGGATATTGCTTTTTGCTTCTTAAGCACTTGCCTAGGAAAATCCAAGTCCATATAGGTTTCTAATCTCAGGAGGCAGTTGGGAAAGCACATGGAAAGGGGAGGGGAGGGGGGAGAGGAGCAGCTTTTGCTGCCTTTTCTCCATTGCAACTTTCAGGTCACTTAAGGGAATATTATCTTGTATATATGCTGCCTCATTAAACACATTTCCTGCCAGGGAGGGAACTGCCAGCTCTCTTGGATCACATTCCTGACAGAGCACAGTGTGCTGTGACTTCTTGGGGCTCAGTGATGTGAGCTGCTGGTTCTCTCCTTGCTCGCAGCAGCTCCTTACAACCTGTTTCTGACTCGGTGTAGGGGCGGTTGTCCTCTCTTGGTTCTCACGGTAGCAGTGTGCACTGGGGTGGTTTAATCATGCAGCATTACAGCAACTGTTTATTAGACTCCAGGTCGTGTTGCTGGAGTAGCCATGGAGTGATCCTTGCATTGGTTTAATCCATAGCTGGTGGCAGAATTAGGCTGGATGAGCATGGAAGCTGAACATCTGTCTTGCTGCTAGAAAGCTCTTTTCTGTGTCCCTGCTGCTGTGTGATACTGAGGAGTGGAGAGGTTTGCACTGCTGGTGCTTTGTGTGGCTTGTTTGGAGCTCCTGAACCCTCAGGATGCAGCACTTGCTGCCAGCAGGAACAGCCCCTGGAAGCAGAAAGG